CTTGTCTTGTTCCTGATTTTAGCATGAAAGTTTTCAGTTTTTGACCATTTAGTATGATGTTGGCTGTTGGTTTTTCATAGATAGCCTTAATCAGGGTGAGATAAAGACCTTCTATTCCAATTTTCTGTAGCATTTTTATCATGAATGGGTGTTAGATTTTGTCGAATGCCTTTTTTGCATCTATTGAAATGATCATATGGTTTTTGTCCTTGACTCTGTTAATATAGTGTATTACATTTATTTGATTTACGAATGTTGAACCATACTTGCATCCCTGGGAGACCTTGTACTTTCAAGGCAAGGTACGGCACCACTGAGGTAAATCCCCAGCCCTGAAATGCATTTTCCATAGTTTTCAATCATGTTTATATTTTAGACTTATATTATTTTTTTAAGTCTGCATACCTATTGCTTGGACCTAACCAGTTAACAGAATGGAACTGTTAGGAATTTCTTTTGATGTGTTATTAAAAAACACAGAAATAGCCAGATGTGGAGACACAATTCTGTAATCTCAGCACTTGGGAGGATGAGACAGGATTGTGAGTTCAAAGCCAATCTGGGCCATATAGTGAGTTTGAGCTTCATAGTGAGACTTTTATTTTTTGGTACTAGAGATTGAACTTGGGACCTTGTGCTTTCGAGGCAGGTGCCAGAACCACTGAGCTAAATCCCTGGCCCTTTTTTTTTTTCAGACAGAGTCTCACTATATAGTTCAGGCTGGCCTCAAACTCTGGACAATCCTCCTGCTTCAGCCTCTGGAGTGCTAGGATTAAGATGTGCAACACCATGTCCAGCAAGACCATTTTAAAAAATAAAAACTCACTGGGATTTAGCTGGGTCTGGGATTTACCTCAGTGCCACTGCAACTGCCTTGCAAGCACAAGGTCCTGAGTTCAATCCCCAGTAAGAGTAATCCCCCAAAATAAAACAACTCAGAGTCACCAATGGCACCGTGAAGAGAGAAGTTTGGAAACCTTTGGCCTAGATGATCAAAGTCCATAATCCTTAGCCTGGCATATCCCTGTACCTTCTATCCCTGTCATTCCTTGGCTAAAACCCTTTTCTGATGTTCGTTTGATCTCAGGCAATTAAACTTCTTTGGGCCTATTTCTTCAGCTGTAGAAGGTAGTAAATAGCACATAATTTGCTGCCTGTAATTCCAGCACTCAGGAGGCTGAGGCAAGAGGATTACCGTAAGTCTGAGGTCGGCCTGGGCTACAGAGCAAGAGCCTGTCTCAAAAAAAAAAAGAGGGCTGGGGATTTAGCTCAGTGGCACCACACCTGACTTGGAAGCACAAGGTCCTGAGTTTGATCCCTGGTACCGGAAAAAAAAAAAAAAGTGCATGACTTGTATGATGTAATGCATGTTACATAGGGAGCATACATAGGCACCTCGGGTGGCATGTTAAAAGCACTGTTAGCTGGGCGTGGTGGCACATGCCTGTAATCCCACCATGAGTTTGAGGCCAGCCTGAACCACATAGCGAGACCCTGTCTCAAAACACCAAAAAAAAAAAAAAAAAAAAGACAGCTAGTCAAAGAAAGACTAAGAAAGAAAATTTGGCTGTGACTTTGGCAAACCTGAGGGGAAGCTGTTTAGACTTTGGGCCTACGGGACCCAACCCAAGATTGGCTGTCAAACTGCAGGCATCTAGGGAGAATATAGTGACTGGGCAAACCCGTGGGAGCCTGGCATCTGCTGCTACAAATGGGGACACCCAGTGACCCTGAAAAGCAAGGGTGGGTGGGGGTAGGGGTGTACTTAATGAGTGGAAGAAAACATTCTGGGTAAATCAGAATATAGAACATATCATAATATTTGGCTGACACACTTAGGTTAAAAGGCTATTTTCATTCCTCAATGTTACAGTCAAAATTTTATGGAGATATTTATTTTGAAAGTAATCCTTTTTTTTTGTTTGTTTTTTGAGACAGGGTCTGTGTAGCCCAGGCTGGCCTCAAACTCACAGTGAACCTCCTGCTTCAGCCTCCTGAGTGCTGGGATTACATGTGTGCGCCACCATGCCTGGCTATTATTTTTTTGTTTTTTTGGTACCAGGGATCAAACTCAGAACCTTGTGCTTGTGAGGCAGGTGTGGTGCTACTGAGCTAGATCCCCGGGCCTATTATTTTATTTTTTGAGCCAGGATCTCACCACGTAGTTCAGGGTGGCCTTGAAACCATGGTGACCCTCCTCCTGAGTGCTGGGACTGCAGGTGTGCACCACACAGGTAGCTTAAAATACTTTAAATAAAAAGCAAATGCCATTTAGAATAAAAGCTCCAGATGTATTTTTTCAGGCACTGTTATCAATACCTTCATCCCATTTATTAAGCCAAAAAACTTCATGCAACTTTAAGTTCATAACTTTCAATTAAATACAGAGCCCAGCCAGGACGGGACATAGCACATCACAAGTAAGAAGAGGACAGCATGGCTTCCCAGTGTGGTCTCCCGTGGAATTAAGGTGCTCCAACTGTAATCAAGGGCTTCTTTCTGCAAATCTGACCGTGACTGCCTAGGTCCTCCCACGTGGCTGGTTTAGTTTCCTGATTTGTTTGCTCAGTTGGTGTCTTGCTATGTTGCAAGGTTTACCTTGAACTCCTTAGCTCAAGTGATCCTCTCCCTGTCTCAGCCTCCCCAGTGCTTGGATTAGATGTGCGCCACTACGCCTGGCTCTCGTCTCTTGATCTAATGTGTGTTGTTGAGGTCCCCTTCTTGTGGCCTCCGTTATCCACTGTGAGGCTCAGAAGAGTCGACCAGTCTAAAGAAAAGGGAACTTGGGCTGGGGATTTAGCTCAGTGGTTTCGCCGTCTGCTGCGCAAGCCAAGGACCAGAGTTCGATCCCTGGTACCAGAAAAAAAAAAGACAAGGGAACTTGCTTAACAGAGAAGCTGCCATTCCAGCAATAAACTGCCCTAATCTGATTCCACAAACTGTTTTCACTCTGAAGACGGTGAGTCCTAGAAGACCATGGCCAAGATGTCCTAAGTGGCTTCCTCAGAGTTCATCCCTGAGAAGGAGCCATCTGGCCACTCTCCTCTGATTACATTTCCAATAGCTGCTCCATTTCCTCCAGGGCTTTTGTAAAGTCGGTAACTTGCTGCTTATATAAGGTTCGCTGTTCTAGAAATTGGGCCCTCTCTTCTTCTTTCATCTTTAATTTTACTTTTAAGGTCTGCCAGGAAAGGTATTGCAAAAGAAAAAAACACAAATAAAACTCTTGAGTCACAGGAAGACAATACCCACACCAGAACAGTATGCTTCCATTCCACTGAGGAAGGTCACAAGAATACCGACAGACATGGGCTTTCTGTCTTGGACCCTGTGCTGCATTTAGGAGTTGTTTATGCTACAGACTCCTCCATCTAACTAGAGCAATGAATTCCTCTGTCTCACGCAATACCCCACGATTTGAAGAAGTCCATATGCAAGAATCGGGGTTTCTTACTACAGGTCTCTTCTTGAGACACAGCCTGGATCTCACACAAGCCCCCCCCCCCAACTCCCGTCACCTCAGAGCACCCTACAGAGTTGTACACTGTTCCCCCTCATCCCCTGGAGATGTAAACTTTTCTTCTTTGTGGTGTTGGGCATGGAACTCAGGGGCTTGAACACAACAGGCAACAGGCAAGTTCTCTGCCACTCAGCTGCATCCCCAACCCCTAGTGGGAACGTGTCTAAGAGACCTCAGGAACAGAAAAAGGAAATAAGGGAAAAAACTGGTGAAGTTCAAATGAAGTCTTGGAACATAGTTAATAATCCAACAATGTTTCTTAGCTTTGAAAGATATATAATGATAGTATAAGATGTTACTATTAGGGGGACTGCATTTTCCCTCTTTGCAACTTTTGTGTAAATCTACAATCATTTCAAATAGTTTATTGAACAGAAAATAGGAAAGAAAGACTCCACTCTAATCTACCCAGGGAGGTAGGAAATGCTAATCCTGCCTCAGAGTGATGTCTGCCCCTCACCTGTAACTCCTCCATCTGCTTCTTGGCAGTTTCATTAAATAGCTTCAGCTCATCTTGCAAAGTTTCTAACAGCAGCTAAGAGGAGAGTACAATGTAATGAGCAGAGATATTCATATAAGCCCAGTAAACTCCAATTAACATCCCACTTAACAGTCATCTCTCACTGAGGACTGACCACACCTGCAGGACTCTCTACTGGGTCCCTCAAGGACTGTTTGGTGACTGAAGTGACAAAGATGCAGACTGTCCCATTGCAACACACTCTGTGCTACACAGACCTTAGGAACAAAATGTGCCAGCCAGAGAAGGGGTGACTGACAACTTGAGGGAGCAGAGAAGGGCTTCCTGGGTAGTATTCTACGGCCTGAAATGAAACCTGATCTTCCTGAAGAGATCACACGAGTATGAGACTTTGGGGCCAAACATAGTATCTTCCTTCTTCAAAGAAGGAACAAAACAAACACTGCAAACTCAAACTCAACAGACTGGACCTTTGCATCATATAATTCTCAGCAAAGGAGGACAGGAGAAATGTGATAAAGTGCAGAATGGAGAAACCAGAAAGCTCTCTACACTCTATCATGTGATTTTGTTCTTTTAGAACTGGGGATTGAACTATACTAGGCAAGTGCTCTACTACTGAGCTACATCCCCAACCCTTGGTACATTTTTCTTTCGAGGCAGGGTTTTACCAAGTTGCCCAGGCTGGCCTCAAGGTTGTAATCCTTTGGTCTCAGCCTCCCAGGTAGCTGGGATTATAAGCCTATCATATGTTTTAAAGTAGTATATTTTCACTGGGTATAGTGGTACACGGCTGTAATCCTAGCATTTGGGAGGCTGAGGCAGGAGGGTTGTCATGAGTTTGAGGCCAGCTTGGGCTACATAGTGAGCTCAAGGCCAGCCTGGGCTACGAAGCGAGATTCTCCAAAAAAACCCCAAAACCAAACAAAACATAAATAAATATAGTACATTTTCAATTCAGAATATTTGTAAGCACAAAGCCATCTTTGAAGTAAAATATGCTACTGAGCACACAACAGAGGCCTTCTCAGGCCACCCGGCCCTGCCCCTTCCCGGCCAAGCCCTCACCACAGAGTCCATGCGGTCTGTAGTGGCTTCCTGCTGTAATGCCAGGGTGTTGCTGCCTAGAACAGATGGGTACAGCAAAGTCAGCCTCATCAGAACCACACTGCAAACAGAAGAAAGCAAAACCCCCTCGACAGACAAGTGCAGGAGTCTTCCTAGGGACACCTCTAAGTGCCTGGTCTTGGGCAGTCACCCACTCCTACCCTCCAGAACTCTATTTCACCTCCTTGCTCTTCAAGCTTTCATATGGTCAAAACTTATTCTGCTCTCCTTAGCTCAGTGGAAAATTTGTCCAGAGGAAACCTACAGGTTGAATTTTTAAATTTTGTTTACAATACATAAAACTATTCTTAAAAATCTTGATCCAACCAAAAAAAAAAAAAAATCAAATCTGGGCGTGGTGGTGCACACCTGTAATCCCAGCACTGGGAAAGCTGAGGCAGGAGGATCAAAAATTTGTCTCAAAAACAAACAAATGCAAAACCAAAAGAACAACAGTTCATATGCACACAGTAAAATCATACAAAATGCTTATGGCAACTATAGAGTATCTAAACTGGAGTTGAGGACATAGCTCAGTAGTAGGGCACATGCTTCAAATTCTTGTACCCCCCAAAACACACACACACACACACACACACACTCTCTCTCTCTCTCATAAAAACTACAACCCACAGGCCAGCTGTTCCCACTGAAAGTCAGTATTCTTTAATTCCACTTTTCTGGACCCTCTGGTTCCTCACAGCTTCGGGCTGTGTCACAGTCGTCAGACAACTCCGCCTTCCACTCTCCTCTTTGCTACTGACTGCTCACAGGCAGTGTCTGAACCAGGGTCACTTCTTTTTGAGTATCCTAATCACACAGTCTACCGCTACACCTCTAGCCAGGAGTGACATTTTAGCCATTGTGATATTGCTGATTAGTTGGATTTAGGAACCCCTGAGATAACAGAAATCTATCTCTCATTCATTCATCCTTATTCATCTCATTCACTCTCTCCTCCCACACCTCCACATGGCTAAGTTACCAGTAAGCGTCACTTCCCTGTAGAGAGACAGTGTTCCTAGTCTATCTGCCAGGTCATATCTACCGGCCCCAGATGATGTCATAGAGGGCTCGGTAAGAGAGAGAAGCTTCCTTCTCTCTGCAATCCTCTGGGTTAGGCAGAAATCAACATCCCATAAGAACCAAGACAAGCTCCCACACCTCCACATGGCTAAGTTACCAGTAAGCGTCACTTCCCTGTAGAGAGACAGTGTTCCTAGTCTATCTGCCAGGTCATATCTACCGGCCCCAGATGATGTCATAGAGGGCTCGGTAAGAGAGAGAAGCTTCCTTCTCTCTGCAATCCTCTGGGTTAGGCAGAAATCAACATCCCATAAGAACCAAGACAAGCTCCCACAAACCTTTAGGGCTTTGCCAAGCAACTCTTGTACCCACTTGGCCAGCTCATGTGGTGCTATCAAAGGCCACCCAGGAAGGGCACCTGTGCTGCCCCCTCAAAAGTTGCCTACCTGTGTGGAGGTGGTCTCTCACCTGGGTTAAGACCTTTGCACTCCAAAATTGCTAAACAGTTGTCCTGAAACTTCTCCAGCAGCTCCACCTTCTGGGTTAGGTCCTTCAGCTCTCCCTGTTGGTGCATCACACAGAGACGTCAAAAACTGCCGGCCAGTGCTGGGTCTCCTAGCCTGTGCTCCCAGACAGGCACAGCTCAAGCCTGGCTGCCTCTCCTCTGCCTGTGCAGCTCACTCCACCCAAGCGATTCCAGGTGCTGAGGACAGAGGTCTGTCTGTTCCTTATTTTCTTTTTATTTGAGACAGGGTCTCAGTGTAAGTATGTAGACCAGGCTGGCCTAGAACTCATAATCCTTCCTCAGCCTCCTGGGATTACAGGTGTATACTACTGCATCAGGGTCTTACCTGAGTTTTAATCAACTTCTGGTGCAACTGCTTGTTGACAGTCTCTAAGAGCTCATTCTTATCCTTCAGCTCTTCCTCTGATTTTTGCTCCCTCGATGGCTTGCAGCTGTAACAACAGTTGTACTTACATGGAGAAGTAGAAGAGTCCAGAGTGCAGATTACAGACCTACTCTAACAGATCTGAATTATGGCTTTGTTACACAGTGATAACCTGTCTGAGGCTCTGTTTTCGAATTTCTAGAATTAAGATAATACCTCACATATCTTATAAAATATATATGGGATATATGAACTTCAGTGAGTTATATCACTTGACTGTTTCCTCATTTCAAGAATTAAGATAACAGGGCCGGGGATTTAGCTCAGTGGTTTCTCGCTGCGCAAGCCCAAGGACCCGAGTTCAATCCCCTGTACCAAAAAAAAAAAAGAATTAAGATAACATTTATATCTCATAATATTATCATGAAGAATAACAGAAAAAATCCATGCATAATGCTTAGCCCAGCTACTGACACATGGTAAACATATAGTAAATAGCCACTATTGCTGGTATGGAGGTATGCACCTACAATCCCAATGCTCAGGAGGCTGAGGCAAGAGGATCACAAGTTTGAGGCCAACTTGTGCTATGTAGTGAGTTCAAGGCCAGCCTGGACTATGTAGGCAAGGCCCTGTCTCAAAAAACCAAAAGAGCAAACAAAAAATAGCCATTGCCATCATCAATATTAAACTTCATTCTGAAGTTTCTGTCTGCTAGATTTTTTTTTTCTGCAAGATTTTTTTTTTTTTGAGACAGAGTTTAGCTATGTAGCCCAGGCTGGGCTTAAAGTCACAATCCTGCCTTAGTCTCCCGAGTGCTAGTATTAAAACTGCGTGCGTGTGTGGTGCTGGGAACTAAACTCAGGGCCTTGCATGTGCCAGACCAGCACTCTACCACTGAGCTACCTCCCCAGCCCCACCTGCCCCACAACATCTATCTCGCTGTCACTGACCACACACAGCACCCCATCCTAAAGGCTGATGACAGGCCAGCAGCAGCAATCTTGGCACAAAGGCGAAAAGGCATTGTCTGGGACCTAAGACAGTGGCATTACTGATTCTTGCCCTGCCAATGGCAACACCATACCCAGCTGAGCCTTGGCCCTGAAAACACGACACAGGTATCCGGGGGGAACTTGCACTGTGACACATGAAACACGCTCCATGAGAAGGGGACCAGAGTGGGGAAGAAGGTGGTGTAGAACGAATTGAGACGAGTCTGTACATGTACCAACTTCCCCCAAGGACGGTAATCATGACTGCAGACATGTACTAAAGCATTTTTAAAAAGTGACTACAAAAAACAAACCAAAAAAACCCCACAGGTCCCATGAACAACTCTGACGTACACTGGGGCTGCAACCAGCCCTCTAACAGGGTGGCCCAGTTCATTTCTCTTATGCTCACCTCTTTCTGATGTTCCTCTTAACGGTGGGCTCTGCAGCTTTCATCTGCCTAGAGAAGCAAAACCAAAGAACCTAAGCAGTAGATCATATGCCGGTATACTGTGCTGTAGGGCAGAGCAAAGGGCTGAGTTTCTGAGGAAAGAATCAGTGATTACATATGAGGCACACAGCCCAGGCCTGAGAGACCATGGGCTCTGTACTTGGGTTTCAGCAGAGCATCCAAAAAGGCTGTTTTTTTTAAGACAGTGTCTCACTATGCGTAGTTCAGGCTGGCCTTGAACTGTGGAGCCCAGGCTGGCCTCAAACTCCTGGTGATACTCTTGCCTCAGCCTCTCAACAGATGCTCTTTTTTTTCTGTGATTTTTGCATTGTTGGGGATCAAACTCAGGGATATATACCTGCTAGGCAAGCATTCTACCACTGAGCTACACCCCAGGCTCTGCAGGGTATTCCAACTGGATACCAGCAATATGCTCTCACCTATTCTCTCGTTTTGGTTTGGTGATTTTTGTTATATCATTGTCTGAATGAAGATTTTTGGAAACATCGATGTCTTTGGACTTAACAGGTATCAGGCTCTTAGAAGTGGCTCGAGTTTTTGTATCTGCAAGGGAAAACAAGAGGGTGAATCCCTGAACATCATGATTTAACAGCCATAGTCCTGAAAAAAACAGCTGCATTCCAGGTCATATACCTTTATTTTCATGGGGGCCAATCTCAACTTAATCCAAAGAATAACACTTCTAGACTAAATGACAATAGAATTTTTTATTCCAGCCCAGCCTCTTTTTTATTTTTTTGAGACAGGGTCTTGCAAAATTGCTTCCGGCTGGGCTTAAGCTTACAATCCTGCGTCAGCCTCCCACAGTGCTGGGATGACAGGTGTGCCACCCAAGCCTGGCTTAGAAAGGAAGATTTTTTTCAAGGTGACAGTTCAGTGTTTCATGATCTATCCAACTGAATGGCTGGAGGAATAAACGTGGACATGGAAAGTGATACAAGAAAGAGCTAAATTCAAGTCTGAATGGAAGTAAACCCAGCCCACTCCTGAAACACCAACAGAACACCGTTCTGTTACTCCTGAAGCACTCTGCATTCTCCCGAATCACACTCTGCTTTTTCTTTTAACTGTTTCCTGTTTTCACCCAGTGTCTTCCTAACCACTTGGAGAGTATCCGTATCCTCTGCACCTACCAGAGTATCTGGCATATGACCGGAGGTACAAGAAGTGCTGTTAGAATGACTTCAGTTTCATAGACAGTTTCTAAACTACCTCCTCACATCTTCTGTTTCTCTTCCACACCAATTGCCTCTGACACTGGCCCCTTACTTTGTTGATAATTAAATTTACGTGTGTGTGTGTGTGTGTGTGTGTGTTACTGGAGATTGAACCCAGGGCCTCATACATTCAAGGCAAGCATTCTACCTACCATTGAGCAACATCCTCAGCCTTTATTTTATTTTGAGACAAAGTCTCACTAAGTTGCCCAGGCTGGCCTTGAACTTGTGATCTTCCTGCCTCAGCCTCCCATCTAGCTGGGATTACAAGACTGTATCACCAGGGCTGGGGATTTAGCTCAGTGGTTCTGCCGCCTGCCTCGAAAGCACAAGGTCCTGAGTTCCATCCCCAGTACCAAAGAAAAAAAAAAAAA